GCTAAAGTCAGTTGGTAAAATGAAAACTTCTAGTCGTCAACTTTATGCTTCTCCCTTTCATACTTTTCTGCCTCGCTGCTAATTAGAAGAAGACATATTAGCTAGCAATTCAAGTACATCGGTTACTTATTTAGCTCAAGCTTTAGTCCTCCTCGACGTGCTGCCTTCGTCGATATCTACACTATTTATACATATATATAACGAGGAAGTGCTTTTGGTACCTTTTTTAAAAAATGTACATCTCTCACTATGGAATGAAATCTATCTCTGGCGAAAACCTGACCTCGGATGAAGGGAACTAGCGGTAGTCGATGACAGGCATTTCCGAGTGACTACTGCTTCAACAACATAGCTTTACCTCCAGGGGGTTAATTCCTTTCAACCGTCGTAAGTTCGATCTAGTGTTGATTCCTCATATCACAATATATATATATATATATATATATATCGTTTTTTCTAAACGGTTGACGTGTTTGAGTTTTCTAATCACTTAATTGTTGTCGGCTATAATCTCAGTTTTGCCTATTATGCCTATTTCCTTGTAGCCTCCCTTTTAGCAGCCAAAAAAGTCAGGAGATAGGAGCAGCTTGGAATTCGTTTTTAGGCTCTTTGACTTAATTAGGCCATCTTTTATTGTTGGCTGGTACTTTTTTATTTAGGCTGTTGATCAAACGCGTATCGATGCAGAGAAATCGACAACCAATATATAGCGAAAACACGTTCCGTAGTAGATTAATGTGGGTGGACTGACTGCGCTAGCAAAAGAATACGATGCCCTTCAGATATTCGCTTGACGCTGACAGAAGGGATTAACATGAGTCCGAACGAAGTCGATGTGAAATTACGAGGTATCTGGAACGCCTGTCCGCCTTCAATCCGAGAAGCTGCTTCATAAATGATTCAGCATGAGTCGTATATCTGCCCATTGAGTGCGAAGGCTACCTGAACCGCGGTAACTAAATCATATACAGACAGCGTCAATAGGTAACGAAAAGAGACTGTTTTTTTTTTTGTCCGATAATGAATTCACAAGGGAAATTGAAAATTTGGTGAGGGCAATCTTTATTTTGATCACGATTTGGACGATAACGGATATATATATAAGTTTACGATTGTGGCAGCGTGCCAAGCATAATAAGCGGTATCTAACAGAGAACGGGCTCACTTATCGCAGTGGCGGCAATAGTTACTACAACGATTGAAAACTATTAACGTAAAGACAAGTTGTAAAAATGAGTGATGAAGATAAGTGGCGAAAATAGAAATGACCAATAATGCGTGGGATGCCCACACTGGATTTCTACGTCAACTGATATAATTGTGATTCATTGCAATACTTGCAAATGGAGCAGGCCTGCTCGGTTGCCGTACCACGGCTGCGCAGAATAACGTGTATAACAGCACTCACCTGTAGAACGAAATATATACCCTGCTCGAGTAGCTGCATAAATCTAATGGATACTGTGTTTTTGTCGACAAGAACACTGCATTACGACGTATGGCGTTGTTTTGATTGCGATACTGTGATAAATATATACTGGCTATTTGGCCAATTGTTGTTAACTGACGCTCGTGTAGACGATCGAAACTGGGTGGCCTATTGTTCATATACTGGATTCCATGGTGACATTCATCGAGGCACCGCCAAAAAACAACACAGAGGCGCCCGAAGTTCTTTGAGGGGAAGCAACAGAAAAAAGGCACGAAAAGGAAAAACGAGTAGAGATCAGGACTCAGCTCAAACCAGATCCGCTCGATCGGCCATGCTATACGCTTTCCTGAGCTACTAATAAGTTACTGTAAGTGTAGTTGTGAAGTAATATCAGTTGTATTTGTAACAGTGCCGGTAGCGTCACGATGCAGAAGGAAAAATTCCACCGGTGTAGCAACGTGGAAGCTGCAATGCCTAGTGGTAGTGCTTTGTGTCGTCCCATGACGCGATCGACATGTTAAGGCGGGGCAGTTCTTGTCGCATCATCTTAATAAGCACTACTTCTATAACCACTATTCAACGGTGTCGCTTTTGTCATTGGTATTGTTCTTATCTGTGCCGCTTCTGAAGCCGCCACTGTTACTGAAGCTGAAGAGGAACACTCGATTGAAAAAGATCGGCGGCCAAAGGCGGTGCTCTCATCATCCAAATCCTTTTGCAAACGAATAACCTCATTTTTATTGACGCTGTTGTTGATGACAATTGCCGATGGTATCACTGGGGCGGATCAACCGTCAAGGACCAGATGAGTTTGTCCATGTACCGACATACACACGTATACGTCTCTCCATTTGTGTGTATGGATGCTGTTATTTTCGTTGACCTGATTGTCGGTTAAGCACTTCGTACGATAGAAGCTCATCATCATTACTATGGTCGATATTCTTCCTCGTCTGCTTATGATCGCTTGTTCGAAGAAAATGTTCTATGTATAATTAAAGAGGGAGCGTATGTACGGTATAGGAAATACTTTCGGCGATTTTAGTTTTTTTTTCATCTTACAGCTGCTTGCCGGCCGGCAACACGTCTTAAGTCAGCGTTCTCATGGGCCATATCCAGATATATGCGATGGTAAAAACGAGATTCGACTATGAGCACTTCTGGCCCCTTTTCGGTTGCCAATTCGCTCGCTGAAAAGAACGAGATGATGATACATTGACGCTGTAACTGTATGCTTTTCGTATGTCTGACAACGAAATTGGACTCGTGTACATTGGAACTTCGACGTATTTGATTGTTGTCGTTGTTGCTACTGTGAACACGCGGCCCGTGTACTGCTATAGATGGAACTGAATTTATATCGCATCCCAATCGTGGCTCTTTCACCAGCATCGACAATGCTACAGAGCGGTCTACATAAAACCAGAAAGGAATCGAATGAGCTGGGAAAGTTAAATATACTTCACTATTTAAAGCAAAATAACAGTTGTGCCGTTATACGCACACCGGACCGGTGACCCCCTCGTCGCGGTACTTGACATTTGCGGACACCAAGTAGAACTAAACGCCGTTCATCTTGCAAGCACTTTACGCTTTATTATAAAGTGGTTCTAAAAAATACTCAAGTGTAATCTAAGGCATCGCGTCTAACGACTAATTGATGACACGATACTGATTTTAAGCAAAATTCAGCCATCCTATTCTCGTATCCTCGGACGCTAGGTTACTGATATGGAATACAGTTGAGCTGAGGATGAATCGTGTTTTTCGAAATTGCCTTTCGGTGTTGCACAGCTTTTTCGTTAAAGCGCAAATTCAGTTTTCGAAGTTCTGCAGTTCGATTCCAAGGCTTCTATTTAGGTTGAGCTATAGATCATCCTTGGAACGGACATGATATGTTTACATCTGAATACTTAATCGTCGATTAATATTCTACACAATTACTTTGTTTTCTCAGAGCTGCCTCAATAAGCGTATTTTCTGCTATCGACCGACCTCTACCGATACGAGTGAGTAACAGTCGTCAAGGCAGATAGATGGTAATCGTATCAAGATTCGAAGCAATGCCCTGACGGCTATACCGAATTTTGGCAGTATCAAAATACCATGTTCGAAACGTAATGCTATTTAGGTACAGTGAAAATTATATTGCACATCTACTGTTTTGATGAAACTGCTTAATGGATCAACGTAAGTGGAGATCACTGTAGCAACGAAAAGGTCCCATGTGTTAAGCAGCATAGGTCTGCCTTAGCTAGCTGGTAAGGTTATCTTAGTCTGGGATGAACTGGCTGGAAATGAGGATGTGTTTTCTTACGTCACTTGATATTTGATGTTCTATATCCGTAAGCTTTTCCAGCCCATGTAACCATTCAGTAAAAATACACGCTGTTGAGAATACGGTTTGTGGTTATTATTACTACTATTGATTGTATACAAAAAAAAATATGTATATATATATATATATATATATATGTAACTACAGAAAAGCAGCTTTAATGGTTAACTTGATGCCAGTTTCCCCTGCCAACCTGAGCCTTGCTTAAGCAACGAATCGATATTGCGCCTACGATGATGAACTTCAACGTAAACGAATGAACCGCTCCGCACTGGGTTCCACATAAGAGGCTCTACCCGGCAGTCGTACAACTTATACGCGGTCGAGTATCTCTTTCTGACGACGCTACTAACTATTAGTAAATAAGGAAATAAAGCGTCTGCGAGCAACACAATCGAATTTTTCCATAAAGTGTGTAAATGAAGAACCTCTAAATAGCGTCGCTCTTAGTTAGGAATAGCCTTTTCTATCGACAGCAACGTTCTATGCCAGCTAGTCTTATTTTAGGACAGGCAGTAGATCAGTAAAGTCTCTAGCGTCAGTTTCCGTATCTTGTTAGTGTTTATGACACTCTAATTGTTTTGTTTATTAGATGTCTGGAGAGTGCAGTACAAACACCAAAACAATTATTACTCTAGTCAGTGGAAACATAGGAATATGCTATCAGATAGGTGTTTTTAATAAGCAATTTTACAGAACTATCTACAGTTATATAAGCTTTGCCTAGCAAGTTCAGCTGATATCATTAGATGAGATAATCTGATTGCGATGTCGATGTCTAGGCGTGTATATAATGACATTGTGAAAGGTACAGTGATGGAAAAAGAGTGAACCGTAAGGCTCATATATAGCCTTAATTAAAAAAAAAAAAGTCCAAACTTTTCTGTTCGGGACGAGTCAAAAATCAGCGGGAGGTAGGAGATGAGTTTTTTTTTGGCAGTTGGAAAATCCTATCTTCAAATGGCAGGAAATAAAAATGCAATAAAATCTGATTATGATATTTTTTAACACTATATTATATTTCAAATGGTATTTACCAACCTTTTTAGTATGTAAATAATACTTATAGTTTAATGCGCTCTTTAGTTCAATTGCGCATATCTTGTTCGTTGGCCGCGGAAAGCTGCGAAGAGTATCAGCGGGCTGTCCTCAATTGGTCCTGTGACATTTTCTGTGTGTATCTGTTTGTTAATTTTCTAATGTAACGTTTGTGTACGTGTTTGTTTTCAGATTAACTTATGGACAGTGCCACGCTATAATTGCGTGCTACGTTTGCATGGCCATACGACGCCAATTGACACAGTTAAATTTCATCCTAACGAAGATCTGCTCGCGTCGGGATCGAATTCAGGTGCTGTGAAGTTGTTTGATCTTGAGGCTGCCAAGGTCCTTCGGACACTGAACGGCCATAAAGCCTCGGTTCAGTGCATAGATTTCCACCCGTATGGCGAATTCATTGCATCAGGTTCATGTGACAACACAATCAAATTGTGGGATTCCCGCAAGCGCAGCTGTATCAACACTTATCGCGGGCACGATCAGAAGGTCAACTCAATCCGCTTCAGTCCAGACGGCCGCTGGATTGTGTCTGGCGGAGATGACGGCTCAATCAAGCTCTGGGATCTCGCTATGGGTAAAATGCTCATGCAATTCAATGAACATAAAGCCGCCGTTAGCGATGTCGAATTTCATCCGAACGAGTACCTGTTAGCCTCAGGCAGTGAAGACGGTAACGTCAAATTTTACGATCTTGAAACGTGGCAAGTCATCTCGTCGACAAGTGGAGAAACTGGCCACGTCCACTGTACACGCTTCCACCCCGACGGCGAAGTGATCATGGTGGGAGCAGACGACGTCATGCGGGTGTACGCTTGGGAGCCTACGGTAAACACGTTTGATCGCGTTATCATGGGTTGGGGTAAAGTTGAGGACATTATGGTTGGCAAAGATTCGGTGGTAGCAGCCAGCAAGTCCGTGACAAATGTCTGCTTATATGTGCTTGACACAAATAAGGTCCAGCCGTTCGCAGGCTCATCGGCGATATTCATCGACGATACTCCGGCCAAGACGTCAACTGGCGGATCGTTTCGACGTTCTTCGCCGCTTGGCTCCAATCCTCGACGAAGCTTTAACACCAAATCTCGGATAAAGTTGGATGTTGCTTATAAAAGGGAGATCAACTCTTCGGAGGCTTCCGATAACTCGTACGACTCGTATGAACCATCGAGTACTGATGACGTTTGCATTATGGAGCCATGTTAGTACTACGACAATGTTGTTGTTGTTGTTGTTAGGACTGAATTGAAATACACAGGTAGCTCTTTCATAGCCTCAAATATTGGTCTAGGTAACGCTAGAGGTCTTCTAATGTTATAGCACACTATTAGGCTTATCAGAAGAAAATTATAATTAAGTGCCCATCCAACTATTCTACGTGTATCTGTCAAGCTGTTGGTAATTTGCCCTGTTTTTTTTGCCGGCCACTTTTAATATTAGCATATGTAATAGTTGAGCCTTGTATTGTATGCTTCAGCATCGTACAACGAGATCTTCCACCCGTCGAAGGAGTTGTCGCGCAGCCCCCCCAGAGATACCTCGTACCCTGTTATGACCACTGGCAACAGCATAAACTCTGGAATGTTCCGATTACCGCCAATCCGGGACGCCGCTCCGAACTCTTCGTCGTCTTCATCGCATCCGCCGGCGACATCGAGGTCACCTCCACGAATCGATCCCGTGATTAGTCGCAACTTGCAAAGTTCCGATTGTCTTAAATCGATCACGTGCGGCGAACGTTCCGTACAGCGTAACCAGACTTCGGAGATGGGCATGCTGACATCATTGACCACTTCGGCGTCGAGTTCTACCATGGCCATGAACAATCTAAATACAGCTACTAACAACCTTAATAACCTCAATCTCAATAGTAACTTTAGCGGCCTTCATCAGCAGAACAACAGTTATGCTAACCATGCGAATAACAGCCATACAAGTTATCATTACCCACCAAATATGGCGTCGATAGCAGCGACAGTTGGAGGCACAAACAGTAACAGCGGAATGGTTATGCGTGCCTCGTTCTCAATGGGTAATATCAAAGAGTCAACCAATCACCACGGAAGCCTAAGCAGCTCATCGTCGACGCTTAGCAGTAGCGTATCAGATAATAACCGTAAAACAGGTAATTAGTAATAATCATAATTGGAAATCAGTACTCGTTTGTAAACTTGAAATTTGACGTGTGCGGCTTCCTATTGTATGATACGAAATTCTTATTATATTATATATGGTATCCATTGAAATCAGTGTGGCCCAAGCAAGGCCCTATACGGGTGTCGTCCGTTGCCAAGTCTTCATCAGTAGCTCTGCCACGGCAATCTAACAATAATAAGACTATGCATATTAATGAGCATATCACGTTGTTGAGCTTAGCCGTTTGCGAAGACGATTACGGAGAACCGTTGCAATTTTCGTGGTAACCTTGTACGGTGCCACTCCATTAATGCATCCATACCATCAATATTTCCTTCAAGGCACTGCCAATTCAACGTCAAGCGGCGATCTATCTTCAATGCCAAACCTTCCAGTGAGTGAACCATCGACACCGGTGAAGACTGCCTCAAACTTCCTTCCGCGTCGGCATCCGGAAAAAACGTCGTCGGAACAAAGTCTTGTATCGATAGTTAAGCCCGTGATGAGCGTCAAAGCAGCCGCAGTTGTTCATCCTGAAGTTGTTAGCAACGTAAGTATGGATCATCTGCGCCTTCGCTGTCAAATATAAAATGCTTAGTCTTGCAAGTTTATTATTCTAAAAACCAACAATAATCATTCGATGAGCCATACAAAACAGACGCGTCTATCCACGACGCTTCTCTCCTAAATCACTCACGTAGTATAAATAGCTTTTTTTTTATTAATATTTCGCGATGTCACCTCCACTTGTTAGGTTCCTTCATGCGTCAATCGGTCCGAGAAGAATTTGAGTCTACAAAATGACGATAGTTGCGGCAGTAGTAATTCAGCGAACAGCGCGGGTGGCTTGAACTTCGACGATTTTCTGCCAGCTCACGTCCAGTCGCTGTCCAGGGGCCCCCGCTCAGCTGTGCCACTTTCCGAAAATGAGGCTCTCGACAAAATCGGCTGTAAGTTTCTAGAGATATTATGCGCCTCGCGTCGCATCGCAAATGTTATATACATTAAGGCCTGTTAGAAGACGCCTCAGGTCCAATCAAATAACTTCAATGTTTCGCTAGTGATATCTACCTGACAGAACCGTATAATGACGTCTCAACTAAACGTTTTGATTACTATTAATTTTGCTTGTGGCAACTGCAGCTGGTCATAACGGTATGATGGTTGCAATGATGCATCGACTACACGGACTGAGGCAGGTCCACGCGCGTTGGAACCCCAAAGATCCAAAAGCCGCACTCGAGGTAGCAATCAGCCTGCGGGACCCTGCTGTACTGGTCGACCTTCTAAACATTTTGGTGCTGCGCGCCGGCCTTTGGAATCTTGACCTTTGTGCCCTTTTGCTGCCATCGATGCACGAGCTCATTCAGAGCAAATATGAACCCCAAATGGCAACAGCTATCACTGCCATAAAGCTTGTGATGAAAAATTTCGGTACGTATGCGCATTTAGAATGAATGGAACACTACTCTTCAAGTGCTCACCTACACTACGGGGTGTATGTGTGTGTGTGTAGCTGCCCTTCAAACAACTACGCTTATACCTCAGGGTAAAATTGAATTCTGTTTGGTTCGACGAGTCGGCCACTAGTTGTCGCTCGTTCTCATAAACGTATGAACGTAACAAATAATTATCGAAATCTGTGGTGTTCACCTTGGCAGGGGCAATAATCAAGGATACGGTCGCGGGACCAGGAGCGTCGGCGTCGACCTGAGCCGTGAAGAGCGTTACGAAAAATGCACGGGCTGTCACGAAGCGCTGATGACGATTCGGTCGTTTTTGCTGAAGCGGCAAACCATGCAGGGCAAGGTCGGCTCCGAATTCCGAGATCTGCTTACGTTCATGGAAATACTGGACTGAGAAATTGTTGCGATTGATAAATTGAACTCATATCGTCGATCTACCATAGGATATTCGTCTGATAGTCCTGCAAGTTCTTTCCGTGCGGGCTAAACCGGAAGACAGACAGAGTTAATGGCGATGCCACGATGATCAAGTGAATATAGTAGAGGAACATGGTCGAAATCATTGCCGAAGGTTCACGCGGTTGCCTGGGCTATCCAATCCCCTTCTGCTTTCGTCGCTGGTTTTGGTGTAAGCAGGTCGTGGTGCGATACGATGAGTGATTGCCCTCATTTTCCTTTACTTGGATAAAAGCAAGGGCTCTGTGCATATGTATTATTATTTACTTAAATCTGAGTGGTGATACGAATCCGTGAATCTACACTTATAAATACTACTGGTTGTTAATACATTGACAGACTGCCTTTTCTTCTTCGGCAGCATCAGCCGACTTGAGTGCTGTGAACACGCGACTACGGTAATCATAGAACGAATTGCGTTGAGACGTTTGGGTACACAAACGCAAGCGGGAAGTTAACCTGATCGTGGGAAGTGTAAGATACGGGCTGAAGTTGGCCTAAGAATAACTTGTTATGCGCCTCCCCGAGGTGACAGACGGAGCCGATGACCACGGTACTTAAATATCGAACATACAAGATATAGAATAAAATACAATCAGTCAACCATCAAGATAAACTCATGGAGGACAGTCGTCACAGTGACGATCTCTTGACCGGCAAAGTATCATGTGGCGCAAAGAGCACATTCATAGTTGGATAGTATGATGAATACGTTTTACCTTGTACACATCCAAATGTAATTCGATTTCTACTATAATAATAATGATTATTATTATACTATACTCCACTTAAGAATCGACCGTTTGCCTCAATGGGCAACAGTCTATGGACGCGCTAATGTAACTTTGCCAGTTCTCTGATGTCTCGCTTCAAGACATTCCGTCGACCCCGTCGACTGTTGGCTGAGCTTTTTGTAGAGCAGCGTTTGTTGTTTGGTTGCTGGCATTATTTCTCCCCGATGAATTGATGTCATACGTGGTTCTTCGGAACAGACGAACGTCGTCGTCAGTGCTCACGCAAAGAACTTTCTAATGGGAGAAATGTCAAGTTGAAAAGAGTGACGTAAACGAAAGCGACGTTTGCAAGCACGTAAGCTGGGTGGGTGTAAATGTCTTAGAACGGAAGAAGATAACCTGGAAGGGAAGGAGTTTTGTTCAGCGTATAAGATGCCATTCGACGCAATTCTAGCATAGAGGTTATATATGAATTAGTTGCGCTCGATAGATAAACAGTCTGCCTTTACAGCGTTAGAATAGGTGAGTTAGATAACTGGCTGAAAATGTTTCACGTCCCTGATTCTTATTAGGCCTATCTCTCTCTCTATCGAACCATTTGCCGTTGAATAATGGTAGCTTAACTTAAACACATGCCCCATTTTCTTCCTGTCTTGTAACAGTCGAGTAATCGTAGCCAAAATAAGTAGTGCGATAAGCAATCAAATAACAAGCCAACGGGTGAGTCGAACCTCAATGTATCGGACGGACGGGGCCGCACTCTAAACAGCTTTACATGTGAGTGAATGCGCAAACCGTGGGTGCCTGTATATCTGACGGATGACTGCTGTGTGAGCGTGCGCTAGGTAGATATATGAGCGTTGCATGCGTTGGAGCGCCTTTGCGATCTGCTTTTCATGTATCTGCGAATGCACGCGACGGGGCTTGTTTATCCGCAAAACGTACTGAGTACGTGCACACTATATATTATATAATATTACCAATGATCTGATCGGTCCTGTTTCACTAGCCAAGAAGAACGAGAACAACTCGTAGGCCGCGGCCGCTGTTGAGCGTCGTCACGTGTCGCCGCCGGCCCACACTCAGGCCTCTAGACGTCATGGTTCGGCCTAAATTAATGGTTGTAGTAATCACTAATAAGTGTCGTAGAAGATGAGGAAAGCACCGTTATCTGTGTTGAAAAGTACTAGGCAAATTGAGCCTGCCATAACTAAGGTTCTATTTTGGTACAAGTGAGAAAGCACTGCAAGTAAAGTTGGTTAGGTTACGGAATCTAATTGCGACTAGGCGAACAAGAAATGACTCCTTTCATCTTTATATCGCCTCCAAAATAGCACAAATAGCCAACCAATTATGAGGGTACATTGTAAGTGAGTGGTATATATGCATGCATATAGTAGGCAGATCTTACTGTGTTTGCTGCGTTTTACTGAACGTCTGCACATGGTACCGTAATGGAATGGATTTGATGAAAACAAAACGTGTGTCTATAGCCGTATGCTTGTATGTGTGTGTGTGAGAGTCTGTTTGGGCGTGTGTGTGTGTTTGTGTCTGTGGGCTCGGGGAAGGGGGGGAAGGGGGGGGGAAATAGGAAAACAATAGGAAGAACAAACAAGAAAATTACAGAAATGATATATTAAGAAGTACTTGACGGTAAGCTGGCGTAACAGAAGAATTTCAGTAAAAATGACGATTATAGTTATGTTGATAACTTGACGGAATGACGTAGTCTTTAACAATTGATGTGGTAATAATATTTGTAATGTTATTAATAGTAATGATAACGTTGGAATGGCTAAATGAAGTAATGCTTGTTAGGCGCAAGTAACAAAATGCAGCAGCGGCAACAACAATAACAACAATAAGAACAATAACCTACAAAAGAGGAAAGTGATGATATGACGGCGATATGATGATTATGTAAGATGCGCGCAAAAAAGGGAATATTTTTTAGAATGAGAGGTTTTGGGAGCGGGAAGACTAGAACCGAAATACACTAAATAGTAATAAAGCGTACGAACTATAACAAATACGTACAAATACGAATAAAACGATTCTCACATGTGAGAATTCTATGGATACGACTCTGACGTTTTTTCATTGCGAAGTTACAATTGATTAGGCTAAGGTTAGTATATTAGCGGTTGCTCTAATGATTGCCTCTAGCAAACAAATACACCTGTGAGCACTTCTGTCTTAAATAATTGCTATACAGTACACTTTCCATTGAACCCTGAAGGAGTCTTAAGACCTAACCTAATACCTGATAACACGATACGACTGCTGTAGCTCGGTCAGCGGCAACTTTATGAAAGAAGAAAAAGTAAAAATTCAACTGGCTGTCTGAATGAGCTCCCGCAAGCTAACTAGCCAACTGCAAGTATTTAACTGAATAGGCAGAACTCTTACTGCTCATATAGATTTTCCGTGAATTTATTTTTTCGTAAGTTGTATGCAACGTAGGCGTCCGTTATGTATACACGTATAGCGACCTTCTAGCCGTAATCGCCTCCGCTAGGGACCCAATTAGCTTGTGAGTTACAGAAGGATTGAAAACATACTTTTACAGGAAAACAAAGAAAAGAACAAAAAAAAATGTTTCTTACGGCGCAATACATGACTTGTACGAATTTATGTCTCATTAGAATTTTCTAGATATTTGATTCGGGGAAAAATCGATCACTCGAGAAATGAGTAAACTACGTCTGTCATTAAATAGTTCCTCAAGGTTGGTTCAACCGCTATTCAAAAGAATTATTAGCCTTCTCCAAATATTTCACTCTGTGTAACCCTACAAACGTCGCTCTCGGTATATCAGGACTTTTTGAGATGGGGTTAATCAGATCCAAATAATGTCGACAACATCTCCGTCGATCACAACTTTACGATCGTCCTGTCGGCCGGGTAATTCGATTAAAACATCCGCGTCTAGGCAACTCAACAATGAACTGCTTTGTTGCATAAGGGTAGGCCGCACTTCAAGGCTTTGATTACTCGGGTTAACTGTCGCCTTACCTATAAATGCAGCCAAAATCATAATTTTGTATTTGCGCATGGTGTCGTGGAACAAAAGTTTCTAGAAAATCTTAGAATCAACCGACGACAGAAACCAGTCTATGCTTCGCCTGACAATGTGACAAAGTCAATGACAATACAATATTTCATCATTAACAGACATGTAGGATGGAGTATAGCATATTTGTATTACGATAAGCTACTGTAGTGGTATATTGAGTTATTTTCAATTCACTAACTAGCAAGCAAAGGCAGAAGCTGGTATACCTCGAAGATATTCTGGTCGGGGGTCTAGTTCCCAGTGTTTCCTTATGCACAATCGTGCCTTCGCAGTCCGTATCGGTACGTCAGCGCCCAAAGCTCTCAGGGCGGATCGCACGAAAATATGAAACATGACGAATGCACTGGCGGGATTTCCCGGTAAAGCGAAAACCATTCGACCTTCCTTTAAAATAAAACAATTATCGGGCAGAAACGCACGATTACAAGGATCAGATATAAATGTGTGTTCTACAAGAAACAGTTTCCTGCGGCCGCCTTGGACTACGTTAGAGCGCTCAAAATACAGCGTCGTCTGTTATAGCTAATCGTTGTTTTGTCTATTTTAGGATAAATAAAAAGGTTACTATGATTTTAGTCATTGCATCATGCCCGTTACCTTCTTGATACTGCCAGTTTGATCTGCTAAAGCTTTTTGCTACGATTCAGTATCATACACGGCAAAATGCAATCTACACATGTATTTTTTTTGGCTGTGTTTTGTCAAATTTTTACGCTTTTACAGGTGATATCTACTCAGTTCAAAACCTGCGTTACTAACAATTATTCATTCGTGTGATAAAAACGCACCGGTTCAGTGGCAAAAGTCGTCGGCTTCCCAGGTTTGATATTGACTCTTCCGAAGTGTATTTTATACCCGAGATTCTTCAACACGGCCTTGATTAAGTCTTTTTCGCCCATTGATACTCCACCAGATGTCACGATGATATCACAGGACGAGGCTGCCTCAAGTATGGCCTTTTCAAGTGCCTCTTTAGTATCTTCAACGACACCTAAGTCTACGGTGGGCACTCGAATTTGTTGGAGTAGCGCAAGAAGCATAGGTCGATTAGAATCCGGAATGCGACCCACAAGGCTCTTGGTGCTATCGCTAAGAGGCATTTTGTCGAGTTCATCACCGGTAGAAAGTACGCCAACGGTTGGAAGTCTCGACACGGAGATTTTGCTTACTCCTAAAGAATTCAAATGGAACCATAGCATATGTCTCGAAAGCATCTTCTCTAAACACTTAGTAAATCTGTTTATAGTGAGACTCGCTGTAATTCGTTCGACCTAAGATCAAGTCAGTCTTAGCGTGTATCATTGACGTTTTTCTGCTCTATTTCTTTTATACCCTAATTCCTTTTTCAGTACCTGCCATAACTAGCGTGCCGACAGCTGCAGCATTAACCCGATCGCCTTTCGCTAAAAGCAGATGACCTCGGGCTATATCGTATCCTATTGGCCGAATATCCTGACCCGGAACAGGCCTTTTCTTCAACTCAATCCGAAGCTCCTTATCACGAAAATCCTGCGATTTGATGAAAATAATATATTCTTATGACATGAACAATGTTATATAAAGCGATATCAGTGGTCATCATTCAACTGAAGTAAATAGGCACAGATGCCGAAATATGTATAATGAAGCTGACCTAAATTAAATATAATATATATAACCAGTTGAATGCAATGAGATTGCAAGCAAGTCAACTTACATCCCTATCGAGGAGCATAGTGTCTTCGACCTGCACAACGGCGTCAGCACCAGGAGGTACTACCCCACCTGTCGAAATGCGGACGCAGCAGTACTCATCAACAAGTTGGGCGGAAGCTTTCAGTGACGTTCCTGACGCTCGAGCTCCAGCCGTAGCAGCGTATTCGTGGACACGGGGCGTCAGACTGCCCCCGCAACGAACTGCATACCTTCAAGAAAAATAGCAAAACTTTGGAACCTTTCAAAGGAGTAGCCTGTTACACTAAATAAATTTATATCCAACTAATCCTTGCAAGAACAATAAGTTACGCAAAGCGGAGAACGTTTTTTTAAGGGGCTAAGAATGGCTGAGGAAATCGAGTCCAATATGTTATATCTAAATTACAGAAAAGTATGAAATTAAGAATAATTCCTAAAGCACTATTTATAATAGCTATCATACCCGTCCTTAATCGAGGCAGGGAACGATGGAAACGGATCATTAGCTACAACGTCCTTCGTACAGGTTCGTCCTGTAATAGCGCGTAAGTAGCATATATCGGTCACTTATCGGTCGATGCTACTTAGTCTAGAATAGGGATAACATTTTATCGTAAGTAACCGATTATGTATCATAACGGCTAAGGTGATTTTGACGTCGTGAAGCGAAATTACATCGTGAATGAATTTTTCCTCATTAGTAAATTTCATCATCTTCGTAAAAGATCTTAGTTGTGTTAAAACATAATTCTGATGCAGAAATTCAATTTTACTTTCGCTTCCCTTCTACTGTTTGATTAAGTGAATGGAATCGCCAATACGTTGATATCCATCTGGTTCCTGCTTCGTGCATTATCATTATTATGAAGAAGGCCACTCTAATCCACATACCTGGTCCTGTTGTTGTAACAAGTAACTGAACTATGGGAGTACACATGTGTCAGGAAATTATGAGCTCTATTGTATAGGTTCTTGTAGTAGAACGAGACACAAAAGTTGCTTTACATTTTCCAAAAAGCATATATCAAGTGGCCACATGTTCGTGCTCATACTCACCAAGCGCTTCAGATGGGCCAAAGATTTCTTCTTCGAGTGAGGGAAGTATCTTGTTCCGTATGATGTCCTCGACTAGCTTTAAAGCCTCATTTTTGTCGACCATTATGAAGGGTGACTGACGTGCGCGTCCAACAATCGAATTATCAACCTTCACACCAGATTCGTCTAACAAACGATAAAGCATCGGAGTATAAGGAGAAAATGTAGGCAATATTATAGATTCTAGTGGTCTAAATTAAGGTGATCTCGGTCTCATGGATGATATCATATGATGATTTTTTTGTATCGCTTAATTTGATTTCAGATGACAATACTAACTCGAATTTTCATCATTCTCTGTCGTGTTACGATAAAAATAGCGCACTAGTAAAAAAAAAAAAAAAAAAGAACGGAACTTATCACATATACACACACACGAAGCGAAATATAAACGAGTCAAAGTTTGCTAACACCTTGGCAAGGTAAATATGACATAACACGGCATGATAAAACGTTAGTGACTTATGTTCTAAACGTGGGTTTACCTGTAGGTTCCTCGTTGTTGCAATGAATTTTTTTGATTTCTGATTCGTCGTCTCGGATAAGCTTTAATGCATGAGGAAGACCCTGTTCAAGGATAGAAAGGCATTCACGAACGGCCTTTGCAGAGCCTGGCAACGTTATGATGAAAGTACGACCACGTATCCCACACACCATCCGAGATAACAGTGCTTGGGGCAGTAACGGTGAGATTGAAACATCCGTAATATCATTGAAAACGAATTCAATCCCATTCAACTTATTGATCAAATTAGCTAGAATATGCCTAACTTAATAGTGACTTAACAGAGTAAACTTAACAGTGAAGATACGTAGACCACGCTACTTCACAGTGTTGAAATGTAATTGTAATCTATTAAAATTAAAATTTAATATAGGAAGTTGTCATTTAGAAGATCGTTTTTGCTGTTTCTGTAAATCTTCAATGGTTGATTGTATAGTTTTTGTTTTCAGAATAGTAAAGCTAAAGTTTACCTTCAACATCAGATTCTAGATGCCGTTAGATATATAGAAATATAGAAATATATTTAGAAATAGAGCCGATGACTGACACTCTGCCTAAAAGAATGGGGAATACCCACGATATACAAGACACATTTATCATTATGCGAGCATTCTGCAAAAGACAGTATATCTATATATATATGGCGGATTGTAACATATGGCTATCCACGTAGCAATTCAGCCGGCTAGTAAAATTTCTGACTGTAAAGGTAGGGACAACACATATCAGCGCATATCGCTGATGTAAAAAAAAACTTATCACAGAGGAACAAATAAAGAACACAACATGTTCTAAGGCAGAACTAGGCCTCAGTTTCATAAATACTATGATTTTACAATTGGTGTTGACAAGGTTTTTTCTAAATATGAGTAAATTATTATTTAAAAAAGGCTGATAGCAGCCGGAAATACAGAAATAGCCAGTTCATAGCTGGCTATAAATGAACTCACATACTGATAGGTATTGCAGCTGAACGTTCTTCCTACTTAATCTTCTAAAATAAGCATAGCACAGTACTACGACGTAAACGTCAGCTTCAATAGGGAGTAATCGAAACTGTATTTCCTTCTTTATCCGAAGATTAAGCCTTACACGTTAGCTAATGTTCGCCTTCGTCAACTAGTGTTAACAGGCGGAACCCCTTTTTATTCGTACGCTAAGACCTCCAATTCAACATTAACGTACAAACACTACACGTAACACAATGCTAATATGAGAGTAGCGTTGTTAATAATTTTCGGAAAGATGTTTTTTCTCGGTAAACATGATATGAAAATGGTTATTGTTTAGCGTTGCTTGATCTATGCGCCGAATTCATACATAAATGTCTCGAGTTTAACTTCAGGTCGAGTTCCGAATAGAACCAGGATACCTATTTCATCCGGATTCAAATTCCAACTACCATAACCTCATAAATCTATTAGACAAGCAGACTACCTAATACGCCACTACAAGTATGCCTCACCTAAAGGACTAACGAGCATTCCTTGGTTGATTATGACCGCTGCCATAGTGTCAGCTCTTCGATCCAACAAAGGCGAAACGGCTTCAGGCGTGACGTCACGAGACGAGAAGCCTGTCCCTCCTGTTGTTACAATTAAATCCATCCCAGATGCGCACCTAAGAAATCCGAACATCAGTACAGAGCAGTTCTGAACTAAAACAACTTTAAATGGCCCTCTCCGTACGTATACCTCATTCAACACCATTAAAAAAAGTAGAAGTATTTATTACCATTCAGTGATAACTTTCCGAATCTGGAGTACATCATCAGGTACCATGGCTGTGTGGATGGTCGGAGATCCGTCTTCAGTAGTCAACATCTTTCGAAGCATTGCATCTGCTTCAGGTCCTGAGCGATCCTTCATTTGCCCTGCCGAGCATCGATCGCTTACTAGAATGTAATAAACAGAGGGTGAAATGGAAGCATAGAAACAATCGAACTGCAGTGAGAATTAATATGCTGATCTTGTCGTCAGCTTCGTAAGTAAACAGCATATTAAATTAACATTAAAAGTAATGGAGTAATAGACGAATTCGTGATCGAAAAACAAATTAAAAACGATTTATTACCTGACACAACCCATTTATGCAACGATCAAACACGCGAAATCGTTAATATGAGCTTTGCAAGCTACCCATATTGATTCGGTTTTAAACTAAATACCGAGTATCACAGTGTGGCATACGATAGGAATACGCACACATAATGCGCCCAAATCGCATGAAAATTTTCTCAGGCCTATTAACAAAGCTCTCTATACTTATAAAAAGCAGTCACACTACCAACGGCTCTAGGAAACATATCATTAGCGATAAAGTGGGTACCAGGTAAACTCCAAGCGATCGCTATCGAAACCTTTAACTATGTGCAAATGATTGCCCACACGGTAGGAGACGAAAACATTAGTTTCGGGGAATTCCTAATATGAATTATTTTACTCTCGGAAAATATATATATATATGTGTGTATAAGGCATCTTGCCTTACCGAGTCGGAACTGTTAGGATCCATGCAGCACGGTCTGGAGACCATGAGATGGAAATCTTCAAATAGAACATCGACGGATAAAGGCTCACTTTTTAGCAAAAATATGCATCTGTCGTCTAAATGCTAAAGTCATAAATAACCTACTGTAGTTGTAAACAATGTCAGTTTTTTTTTTACAAAGTTTGGCACAACTTGAAGTAGGTAGAAAAAGTGGAACTATTTACTGACTGACCCAACACAACACAAATAAGTAGTTAAGGTTACGAAAGGATCTTGCTCTATCGTTACAGAACTCTTACCGGTCAACACCGAGCACGTTATTTTTGTCATAGTTGGCGATTTGCACTATTAGAATACAATGTAAAAACAAATGAATTATCACTTGGCTAGAATGTTCGAAACGACACCCAAATATTCATTTCCCTCATGGCGCTATCATCGCCCCGCTTACCGCTTCCTGCTATTAGTGTGTCGGTGTTTACCGAGTCGCCGCTACACACGCACAAACGGCGCACCGCTAATTGGTTTACGCCTCTGTCGACAGAATGGCACTGCTATAAACTTATGGGTAACGCCGTAACCGGTCATGTGTATAGAGGGTGTTTTACTGCTATATGTTCATACGCTTCACGTTTGCCCGACTAGCTTTCGGTCCATCTACACAAAAATTTTAGGGGTATATTATATCTGCTCTATCATATTGTACATTCGCAGTACTGACCGTTTCAAGTCAAAGTTCAAACAAATGCTTTTCATATTTCGATCCAAAACACGTTTTAATATATATATATATATATATATATTTTTTTTTTATTATACTTTTATTATACTATTTTAATTATACTTTCATTTTTATATACTTGTATATGCTATGCAGTGAGAATCTGCTGATCTTATACGTCAAAATATGCGTATATATTATTGACTGACTAGTATATTACAAATATATGCTCATATAATTGAAATTTTATAAACCGTCACATCTAACCGTGTGTTGTCTCTGATTTTGATTATACATGATTACGACATACTGGTAACAGTAGTTTAATTTCAGCTTAGTATCTCATTCTCCGATAACTACAGTAAGTGGTCAACATGAGCACACTAATTATTCTATCCTATATATACGGCACACCAGCATTTCTTTTTAACCAGCTATGTGCTGGACAATTTTTTTTCTATGCCACACACCCCCTCTCTATAAATAAAGGTATTACGCAAATTATTTCAATTTGTGCCTGGCAAACCACTGGTCAGCAATTCCCCTAGCGGATATTAATGTAACAGAAACGGTATTCATACTCGTTGCTGCATTCCACCGCCATTATCCGCCGCTGCTTTCTTTTCTTTAGAAGATTTTTGCAAAATGTAAGCAAAGCTAAAATCTATATTATTTCCGAATATCCAAACTTGTGCTCAGTTTGGCCTGTGCATAAACAGAGGTGTATTATGGGTTGTCGTATGCTTCAACGATTGTCAAAGATCAAAAGCACATCATCATTATCTCATTCACCACTTAACTTTGCTAGGTAGAAGCACTACAAACCAGCAAATCAGTGATCCCAAGAGATCTGACCTACACAGGGCTGAAGAATCACACCCAACTATAGCCGAGTATAATGCTGCACCCTAGAGTCCATGAGCAGAACCTGAGCTGACGCGAAACGGCCAATAGCACTCAGAGATATACCTAAAGGTATAATAACCCACATCTGTGGATCAATAGAATAATGAGAACGTGATAGTGGGCCTACCAAAGCCTAATCAGGTCCATTCGGTCCTATTTGGGTCCGACTCGAAATATTAGTACAAAGAGCAAAGGCGAAGCTGCTCCAAAGAATCGATGTGGTCACAGGAGACATAACAACAAAAAACCATCGTTAGGAACCAAGGTCATCATGCATAGTGGTGAATCTGACCAGGGTGGCCATGGCCCATTAATCCAACAGTACCTTCCAATCCTTATCACATTACCACTTTTTTTTTTACTATTCAAAAAAAAGTTCGGGTCAGCACGGACTAAGTTGCAAAGGAGGAAATGCGAATTAGTGGGTCTCTGCAGAAAAAAGTCTAGCTGTCAAAGCTCAGCCGCATGTCAACCAATGGTGTCTTGGCGCACGTACACTCAAATCCTTTAAAAAAACACAACTCGCTTGGTTCGTTTGTGGTAAGTGATTTGATAGCGTCACCTCCATTATGATTTTTTAACTTGCACATCGTAGGACTTTGGGTCCATTGGTGAGTTTTTAAATAGATGCAAAAAATGCCATGTAATAAGTGTTAAGCTGATTTTAAAATTGATGTTCAAATCAAATAGGCTTTAATAACCCGCGTCAAAAGTAGATTTGGGCAGAACAGGGTATAAAGCAAAAGAAAACTTAACAAAAGGGAGAAGCATCCAGCTAGAGGAAATGATATCAGAACGGGGTGGGCACTGGCCGCAATAGTGCAATGATGAGTAGTTCAATCATATGTATACGGGTTCAAAAGGAGATCCCTATTTGTCTGTTAACAGCTTAGACATTCTTAACACTCAAAGGAAAAGATCATAGGAAAGTTATGGCAACTATTTGTTTTATTCACAAAATGTATAAAATTTCTATTTCTGCTAACATCTTACCTTGCAACCTATACAGTAAATCCTAGCATCTTTTGTATAAATACAACAAGTTTAACACTAGTAATTGTGTAGTTTCAGAGACGATTATATAGAGAGAGAATATTAAATCAGTTTGATCATGCGAGCTCATCCAAAATCATTGATTGAATGAATACACTTGTACTGATTCTATATGCTCTAGGAAACGTTTCTTTGTCTTTCCAAAGCTCATCCATAATGATTGCTACCCACTACTCATCTACATCATACATTGTGTCATTATAGATCAGCAAATACTGATCTATAGCAGGAGGGTCTAGAAGGATAGCAGGCTTGCTAGCCTTCGGTACTAGATTTAAAACGCCAAAACCAACTATCTCTGCTCATTCCATGCTAAAAAGCGATTTTTCACTGACTGCAACGGACTCTACAGCAAGTCGGCCCACTCTGTTCATGGTAGTATACTTGCTGGTGTATAGCCATCAGCTTCCCAACAGGGCATTCCCGCTGGGAGACCCTCAGTGTCCAAGAGGATTCTCCCAAATATTCCTCTTCGAAATCCAAAAATGAAGTGCGCCGCTGCAGCGTCCAGATCCATTTTGTAACTGTACCCGCCTGTCGAATCGTATATGTTGCGGACCTTGCCCATGGAAAAGCAATTAACACAATGATAAAATTATAGCTATCTCTTAAATTTGAGATTTCAGTGTGACAAAAAAGATTCTCTTAAATTACCTTTCTTTTCGAACTAAGCATAGTAGCGCATGAAGTCAGCAAAGTTCTTAGATCATCTGTCGGCAAATCAAGTCCCATGTAATTGCAGTAAGTGTAAATACCTGAAATAATAAAAAAAATATTCATAATGCAATACCATTGTACATAAAATAGCGTAAATCAATATTATAGGAATAACACTAAATTACTCTTAAGTAACCGGAATTACCTAAGAGAAAATATGTAGCCACTGGAAAGTGTAATTACGCTAGATTTAGACATAGTTAATCATTTTGGATATATACATATATATATTTATGGATGGTTATTACCAGTTTGCGACGTTCTGTCCAGCCACCATGGCTTTGAACTTTTAGTACTAATTTAATTTTAAGTATTCAGGATGTGTCAAGTTATACATTGATTTGGACTGTGAGGTACCTTGGAGGGACAGTTTTCTTAACTTACCTAAGGCGCATGTGGGCCAAAATCCTAAACTGATAATCTTCATCAGTATAGAACTTTGGTTAGCTTTTATCAAACTTTCATTTACCCTTCTCGATATTAGCCCCGTTTTAATCTGCCCTGTTCAAGTGATACTATGCATCGAGCATTAAAAAACACAGTCGGTGCTAGTAATCATAAAATATCTAGTTTTTTACATTCAAATTACTTTTGAGTCTCACCTGTTTACCAGCGCCTTACAAAATGTAAAAATCCATACATAGAACTTTTAAAGCCTTTAAATAAAGTTCATTGTTGTTATTATCATTACCATGATTATTATTATAATGCGTACCACGACTTTGCATGAACTGCAAGAGATACGCTGCCATAAGCTGCACACCAACTTCCTTATCAATCGCACAGCCGCATAGCGCCAATCGCAGAGCGTTCTCGTACGCTACTGGATTCGCTTCTAGAACACCTGGCCCATGAAACAACGTTTTATACAAATATAATTATTTGTGCTTTGTTGTCAGACCCATCCTAAAAGGTCAAGATTATTATCGAGAAAATATGAAATAATTAGAGATTTTACCAATGCCTTACAGTTAATTAGATAAAATGCTTAAAACATTGTACGTTACAAAATGCCGTCCACCAGACCATTTTTACTTTCTCTAAACGAATGCAACGGGCATGCTTAAGTACCGCATGCAGAACTGGGATTTAAGGAGGCTTTGTCCTGTAGTGAGAGTATAGTTACGTACCAGGTGTGTCCACAAGGTAAATTTTAGGTGATTCCGATATACGTATCGTCTGTAAAACGTGGCGGGTGACGCCTGGTTTAGAACCAATTGGCGTGGCTTCATTTTTCAGTCCAGTATAACGTTCGCGGATAGCATTGATGATTGATGACTTGCCTGCACAGTAACAATTATGCTATATAATATTACCATATATTTCCTTTCATAGCGGAGACATTGGAATTATTTTATGGCATGCTATGGTTTTACCATATCATAGACATGGGTACAAGTTATTATCTAGCTTAAGCTTGCGTTTACCGGTCACCTGATTATTAACCAAGACATTATCGACATTTTTTTCAATGAAGTTTCTTCAGATATACGGACGATACGTATTAGGTACTTTTTGTAAAGACGAGTCTGTTTATACATACCAACATTAGGCACACCAACAATCATTATTGTGTGTTGAATTTTGGCGAAGTCAATGTTGTCACGGAAGAAACCTTCTATTAGCTTCGTGCATCTTGGAACGATTTTTTTTACTCTAAAGTCACGGATGGCTGAAACAAATACCGGATCCATATGAAGCGGCGAGGACGACTTCGACTCTGAAAAGTGACAACATACAGAAAAAGCCAGTGACGAACGACGGTAGTATTTGATGTAATAATTCACCTTTTTTTTAGGCAATTTATTGCAATAGCGGTATAAACGAAAACATTTTCCAAGCGGAAGGCACACAGCTTTGTGACGTTCATCTTTAAAGCGTTTTTGTAATAAAAGTAAGCAGTTCTCGACTCTGTTCATTCTGAATTAAATAGCTCCATGGGCAAATGCAGTATATGCACAGAACGCTTTGTCAGATACGAATCGCGTAAGAAAGTTTACATGGGAGAAAATCGTCGATTCATATAACTCTCTGAAAACGATTGACTGCGACCAAGTGAAATGTAGTACTGACCAATGAACTTACCAGTGTCAACGATGTGCTTGACAAGTGGAGCAATCGTTCGTTTGGGGATCATGTCGGATTTATTGAGCACGAGAAGATGCGGCCTAGCCACACGCAGCCTCTCTAGAAATTTCGCATTTCGTCCACTCAGTGGAGCGCGTGCGTCATGAACTTCAATCACGCAGTCAACCTTTGCCAGGTTCCGCTCTACCTGCGATGTGTTATTAGCAACATTTTGACGAAAGGTATTTATCGAGTAGGTATCGGCTAACAGGGACATTCGATTTTATTTGTTTCAAAGTTCAGTCTGATTTGAACCTCGTGCACATGGTCCTACGTTCGTATAAGGTTCCCTTCATCATTTGACTTACACATTTAAACTCAGCGTGCATAACTCATTTATGTACACTAAATATTCGTCTTGAGCAATGTGCACTATTTTTAACATAGGAATTAGAAACTTCAACAGAGAAGGATTTCTGTCAAAGCAAATTAGCTGTGATGCAAACTCTTCCTGGAAGCTCAGCATGAACTAACTTATTAAACATACAACACGTATGTTTGAAAGACAAGCCATTGCAACAATGCATTTTATGATAATAAACCACGTCAAAGTATGAATTAAAACAGCTATTACCAAATAAACAAGTAAGCTATTATATAGTACCTCTTTCATCCCGCCAATACCACCATGTTTGCTTGGAAACCATTTTGATATCATGGTCAGGTTATTAGTTTTCATGAGATTTTGCATTTTGATTTTTATCTATAACTCGTTAAGCGTTTTGAATCCTTTTTCCCTTGCGGGTTTGTATATGTCGTGGTTGATAATATTTTGTCTGGTTCACACCGCCAAAAATAAACACATGTGCGTGACGCGCAAGTCTTAACATCCACATCTCGTCTATAGCAAGCAGAATTGATTGTCTGTTATTCAAGGAAAATTCTGAAAACGTATCTTCAACACACGGGCCATACGGATCAGTTGTATTATAAGGTTCGATATGCAGCAACTGTGCACGAAACGTTCGAATGTCGTTGTTTTGGGTCGTCTCCCTTACGACCATGTGTTTATATTATGGCACCACAGCAGGTTCACTCTAATACTTCTTGACACTATGGCGTAGCTTAACTGCTTTAGTAGATCTTACGAAAAATTCATTTCGACTTTGGGTCTTAACGAATGAATTAATAACAATGTTGTTGTTAGAATATTAAAAATAAAAATATTTAAAAATTTGCTCCGAGGTTTTCAAGATACTTCGCCGGATAGAGCACCGGATATGAGGTTGTACCAATATTTTAATATATCTCCTTTATGAACAATTTCACTGTTTGCCTGCTAGCTAGTTAGATTTCAAGAGGAATATTATAACATAAAGAGTGCAAACGTGCAATCTGCGATCGACATGCAAAACAAGAAATAGCAGTTTAAATACTTATCAGTGCAATATTCTAATATTTATAATTGCTGTCAGTTATCCTTAATATCATACTAGAGTAAGTATAAGTAAATAAATAAAGTTTTTTTTTTTAATATTAGTTACTGTTACTACCTGTTTAGGCCAAATGTCTAAATTAATCTTATATTAATGCTAAAGCATTGCAACCGCGTTTAAAAATGGGCGCGTTAACACTATAGGCAGTGCTCGACTATCCTAGCAGACGACGGTATGCCATTCTGTTAATATTCGGTGAAAGGCGCTGGATGTATTCATTGAACGGGAAAGAGTTTTGTTGCATCTGTAGTGTATCTTTATTAACGCGAAGTGGAAAACTACAAAAATTATTATTATTGGTCCGTGTAATGCACAGGCGGACAAATAGCTGATTGTGAGTGACGACTTAAAAGCGTGATGATGCGTGTTTAAATAAGTCTTACGGTTTACCAGTCGTGACGGCTGGCGCTGATTACCCAATCTAACCAGCTGACGAAATGGAACACTGCCGCAGAAGGCAGTGTAAATCATCGTAAGGTCGCAGATGTTGTCGTCGTTGTCGAAAGACTTTTGTTCTAATGATGTGTCGCTACAACACCCAGATGGCTCTACCGGCACGTAAGCTTAGAGAATCTAGGCGTGACCTTGAGGCGTGATATTGGTGCGCTGAGAATACTTCGATGTCAAAGTCTGTCGGCCGTCAGAGTCGGCTGATTCGATCGTAGGATAAGAGTGCTCCCTAGAATCCGGGCAGTCGTTTGAGGCAGGGAGAGGGCGGAACTACCAGTACGCTCTATAGGGAGAAACAAGGAACTAAGTGTAGTGCACAGGACAGCCGTTTCAGGATGCAGGCACGGCAGTTCAGCATGATATCCTGCAGAAGTCGACAGCGGTGTTTTGTGCTGACAATGTGTCCGAGGGAAGTAGTGCTTGGTGGTGTTATCCTACTGTTCACGATGCTTATGGCACCCTGTACTCTTACGGCAAATAAGGCTCCCGAACTCAGCGGGCTCGTAGATGAGTGCGACTGTAATGTAAACGATCTCGCTCACTTTAACTCATTTAGAATCTATCCACAGATTCAGAGCATCGTGCGGAAGGATTACTTTAGATACTTCAAGGTGGATCTTTCTAAGGAATGTCCCTATTGGCACGACGACGCGACGTGTGCCTTAAAAGATTGCTCAGTAGAGACTTGCGACGCGGAGGATATTCCGTTTGTCGTCGCAGAAAAACTGCGGCTAGGCTCTGGATCCGACGAGGTTGAAGACGAGGCACCGCTGGAGACCAGCCAGCCTCAAACGGAGCCTCCTGAGGAAGCAGGTGAGGCATTAAGAGAGCTACCATATTATGAGCGAGCACGCACTGAAGGAATGACACCATCGGCATTAATCCAGGCTGACGCGACCTCACCTCCTGCAGTAGAGAAGACGGAAACCTCAACAACCAACGTGCACCCTACGACAATAACAACTACACGAGGTCAGATCACAATGGCCACCACTGTACAACCCACTGCTGTCGAAAGCGCCCGGCACGCGTCAGAGGAACGAAATGGCACCGCAAGCTCAGCAATTCGAAATTCTGTCAAAGATTTCGTAGGAGATACCGAAAGCGAAAAAAACGAACGCGATAATCAGGCATCGTGTAAAGGACACAATCGGACCTTAGGGAAAATTAACATAACCATCTCAGAAGAAAGTCTTAAAGAATTCGAACGATGGCGAAAGCACGATGCCAGCCTGCAGGCCTTTTGTGTCTTCGATGATGAAAACTCATTAAACGCCTCGTACGTTGATCTCCTTCTAAATCCCGAACGGTTCACTGGTTATGCAGGCCCCTCGGCAAACCGCGTCTGGAAATCGATTTATGAAGAGAACTGCTTTAAAAGTCCACAGGGCAGCCCTCTTGACCTGAATCAGATGTGCCTCGAGAAGCGTGTATTCTACCGGGTCATTTCGGGTTTACATTCGTCGATCAATATACACCTATGCGCGGAATACTATCTGCCCAAAATGGGCCGTTTTATTGTGCCTGGTGAGCCCATGTGGGGACCAAACGTCAATGAATTCAACACGCGTTTCTCTTCGGCGTCAACCGATGGTGAAGGCCCTCGTCGTTTAAAGAATCTCTACTTCCTATATTTACTTGAAATGCGTGCAATTCATAAGGCTTCGTCATTTCTTCGCAAGGCTCCGTTCTACACATCGAATCCAGAAGATACCTTTGAAACAGCGGAAGCCATCAACGGATTTCTGGAAACCGTCGGTGAGTTTCCGTCGCACTTCAACGAAGGCCAAATGTTCGTCGGCACTTGTCAGGAGACCTTAAGACTTAAGGAGGAATTCCGGCTGCATTTTCTAAACATCTCAACAATAATGGATTGTGTCGGTTGTGAGAAATGCCGTCTTTGGGGAAAACTACAGACGCAAGGATTGGGAACCGCGTTGAAGATCCTTTTCTCCGATGAAGGTCTTGAACTGACCCGAACAGAGATTGTCACTTTGTTTAATTCGTTTGCTAGACTGAGCAACAGTCTTGTTCAACTTGGAAACTTCTACAGATTATCGAAAGAAGTGCCTGATATAAATAAGGCTGGAAAAAGCTTTGATTCAGTGTTCTCTAGACAAAAAATTGAGTTGTAGTCAGGAAAGCGGCCGCTAGCAATCCCAAAGCCTGGATATGCAGGAAAACGGCCGCTAGCAATCCCAAAGCCTGGATATGCCAATGTCCTTCGCTTTGCTGAAGTTACGTCTTTAAAACGAGGTGATTGGATTCTGGTATTACAAATTATAGGCGGACTAACTGGTTAATGACTGGTCGCCGACTGCACAATGCAGTAGTAGTGTATACCGCAAAATCTACTCTTAACGAAGTTTCTTTTCAAAATTAGTCAATACGAGGAATTATTCGACGGAGAATCGTAAAGAGTCCTCATATCAACCACGCTAGTGCTCCACGCTAGAGGGCAGCTGAGGGTCAACTCAGTTTTACTGGTGCTCTTTCTGCACGAATGAAGATCATCATCAACTTGTGATTTTCTATAATAATGCTGATTTGATCAAAAACTGATCTATAACAGCAGAGTGATTATTATCACACTGAATCATGCATACAACATAGGCAGAGATAGCTTACAATCTGATAATATTTGGCGGAGCATTTAGGGTAATTGTAGCGTGACGATGGGAGCTGCGTATGGTGGGTTCCTCCATTTTGGCAGAAAACAAAGAAGTGTACTCGACTGTATAAATGTGAATAAAATAAATCTAGATTCATTATTATATTTATGGCAATAGATGGAGAAAAGCATATATATGTTAAATAGAATTAAATATATACAACTGTTTTAGTACGTTTACAGTTCATTTATACAACTTCTCTTGTGAATACGGTGACTGTCAACAGTCGGCGCTTGGGGCGACCAATAAAATCTGAGGGTGTATTTTCTGCTAGAATTTGGTGTTCTCAATCACCGAGCATATTGAATTGTACTAGTTTACATAGGGCATATAGCATGTCACGTTCACACTTGATCTTGCAAGCTGGTTGTACGTAAAGCTAATGAGTTCGGAAGGACAGCATATCATTTGAACGTTTCAGTGATCAGCAATTGTCCGTTGCTCAAATTGTTCACGTATTTAGAAAAAAAAAAACAGGATTTAGAAAAAAAAACAAGTAATCACATATTTATTCCATGGTACCGTACTCGTAAGTACGCTGTGTTGTGCTTCGCTGCAAAGGAACGAGCGACTATACTTCTAGAAATCAGGTTACTGCAACTATCTGAGGTCGGTGGTTGTTTTCAAGGGTATTGCCCTCTTGTCGCCCGACATGGAAAACAGCTTTTCTATGTTCGATGGATTAGTAGATTGAATGTATGACATCTAAACGAGCTGAGATGTAAGGTTAGACACACAGCATTACAATTACGGTGCGGCGTCTGGCTGACGGTAACGTGCGAACTGCGTTGGTTTTTACTATGGCGTTAGACTAACTCTATTACTAGTAATATTCCGAGGTACTTTTCTATTCTAAACGCCAGAAACCAAGTACATGCTTCTCTGAAGTGGAGCCTATCGCGTGAGCTGAGCTAGTGTTTAGTATGTGTCAAAGTTTCTTTTGTATTTCCAACCTTGAAGGTGGAAAGTCATAATTCCTATTCTGTTCGATATCTACGGGAATCTCTATAAACGTAATAAATGGATGTGTAGGGAAATACTCCAAATGTTAACTGCGAGAGTTCAACTAAGAAAGGGACAAAAAGCAGCCGACTCAATTTCCCGGAGACTTCGAGGAGGCAAAATTTTGAAGGCACCTGGTGACAGTGAGCCCTATTTCACTAATCAGCTATAAAACCTTGTAACAGACACAATCGATTTGTGCGTTTCGAACTGCAGAATTCTAACAAATGATTCTTCGAAACGATCGCTCAAAGGGTAGAGTTTACGATATACGCGCACCCATGTACATTTTCAATGTCGCGCTCTGAACCTGAAGTCTCTAGCCTTCTCAAAAGGGAATTGAATAGCCCAAGAAAAATTATGGAAAAGTACCGTTTTCGGTTCAACTTCGGTGTTACATATTGTATTCATTCAATTTAAGATAACAGCTCAGTTGGTTCTTCCTATTTCAAGTGGATCCGAGGCCTTTGCACTTTATATATGTGAGGGCATGCAAGCAAACGAACCACTGATCAATAATATAATATGAGATGTCTTACACGGACAGTGTGCTCTGTTGTCAACCGAAAGTCGTATCCGAAAACATCGACTTTTTGAGATCGCATTTGCCAGAGAACAACGCTAACCGATCAAGGAGAAAGCAGAACCTTTAGTTGTCACTAGTCGTATATATTACCGGTACATCCGGTATAGTAAATAGAACAATACACTTGGGGAACATACAATAGCAGACATGCAAATCAAATTTAACAACACAAACACGTTAGGAAGCATAGGGTCTCCTCCATACAGAATTGTATATGGAGGCCGACCAAGATAAAGTTACCTATCCTGTTCAAATCGCTATAATGAGGGTGCCCTGATAAAAATCGATCAGCCCTTATGCTCCCACCTCCGGCAAAAGTGAAAGAACGAATTGAGATAGAAGTCGAACAAAGGATATGGCAGCTTCGAAAGTCAAGAGATATAGCTTTTTCACAGTATCATGTAAACTGATGGTGAATAGTAAATAAGTGTGTGATTCGAGATATTGAATCACAAAATCCGCTCGGTGTTGCGTTCAATCTATCTAGTCTTCTGGGTTTTCACGCAGTTGAGAATGATCATGCAAACAGTCAACCATAGTGGACCAATAACAGCAGCTTACCAGCTGAGAGCTCTAATGGACGAGCGCTCACGAGCAAATGACTGGTAGACAAAAAACAGCTATGTTCTAAACTCATGATCTATAATGATATGTTATCTATATGATAAATTATCTAGCAATTATTATACCGATTTCAATGTACTTATTGCCTTGTGCACAGGATTTTTTTTTCTCTTTTATTCATGTCAGCGCAGTATCATCGATCAACTGACACTGCATTAATAATATTATTGCGAAGTAGCTAAGTTCGTCTCTCATTCCTAATTTACTAGCTACTGATCGTCAATTTTATGATGACTCAATGCACAAATGACAGTTAACTACAGTTGCGTGGTTATGTAGTAACGTGGATGTTGCGTACAAAGGCGATAGTGGGTTCGAGGGCCGTCGCGCCGTACAAGTGTTTCTACGGTTTACGTATTCTCAGTATATTTAATTAGATTTTTCTCGCTGGATGTACACATCTGTTTAATCTGTTCTATAAACTAAAATGAAAGGCCTACACCAATTATTCGTTACAACGTGCGATAATTGGAAGATCATACAAGGACTAAGCAGGCGATTTACTGGTCTACTTCGGAAAAACTCTTGTGCCATTCTATGCCGAATCAAGAATTCGTCTTTCCATTTAATTGTGATTCTTACGTTTTGTCATTATTGTTTGATTAATAATTTTTCGATTATTGCTTAAGCATTTTTTCTACACTGAGTAACGGTAGTAGAAGTTTTTGAAAAAACAATTTTTTTAGATAAACTCATCTTTGAAATTTTTGGAGCCATAGCGCTAAACATTTCAACCCTACGTGCTCTCTGTTTTCCTTAACGTTCGCATAAATTCTAAATGCGAGGTTCTCACGCGTAGTACAATTGTTTTAAATATATGCAATTAAATGACAACATCCAAACGGAAATGGGAGAATAAGCAGAGGTTTTTTCAGTCCGTTAGAAACAGTTTTCTGAAATTTTCCATATTTTTTTCTGGAAGCTCAAAACAATATAACGTTTTCATCTTAATCAGACGTACTCTTTCGTAGCTCATTCAGATGTTTTTCAAACTGTTTCTATTGGAAAATAGTTCGATTTAACTTAAAGGACGTAGGACGAAGCAGAAGAAACTATATACGTACGTTTAATTAATATACGTATGTAGTACTCTGCCGGAAAATATCAACTGAAAGACTCGCAAGAGCTCCCTATACTTTCTGAGCATCTATGACTGAGTCATACAGCGCTTAATATAAGAACTTTTTCGATAAACAGTTAATATTTTGAGCAAACATAAGTCCGACCATCATGCCATTAACCACGGGTGTCTGATGGCAGTAAGTATGCTAGCCTCAAACACCTTTAAGACTTTTTAATAATTTTTTTCCTATATGCCTCGCTTAAGGTCAATTATTATACAAATCCGAATATTTTGATAGGTTAGAAATTAGTGGCAAAATCTTATACGCATGTTTGATCTCATCCGCTGTTATATATTTTCGTTTGGCAGCTGCCGTTAAATCAAATAAAGTTTTACGGGTAACACTGTAAGATATTTAAATGTCTATAGATCCCAATTTGAGCGATTAGCGTTGTATATGCGGGCTGGTGAAAGCGCGTGTAACGACTTTTTACCTACAGAACAGAATCGTATTTAAAGGAAATCCTTTGGCAAGACGTCTGAAGAAAAGCATACTGCAAGGGACCTTTTATTTATAGAGTAAAGGTTGGATACATTTTCAGTATTCCTATGATATCGTGAATCTCCGACTGATCAAACCGTATATATGTCAGGAGCACCCGGAAACAGCTCGTGCCTTTTAAAAATCAATAGCAAGCGTTTTTCATTCATTTAATTAATCGTATCATAGTTGTAACAATAACAGCTCTTGCATTTCTAAACAGCTGTCTCGTTTCTAACAACTTGAATGAAACGAGTAGTATAGAAACCAGCAGAACAGAGCTTGAATACAAATCACAAATCATTACCACAGGTCTGGTTAAGTGTCGAAGCAGCACGTTCTTTTTGCAACATGTAGCAACTTTGACACGCCCTCATAGCTGAGAAGAACTTCTATATATGTATATATATATTCGGGGTTTATGCAAATGAATAATTATAATAAATTATTCTAGCTAAACGGTCATTTCATAAAATTCATTTTTGCCGATCATCTCATCAGACAATTAGTAATGGACCAATAGGAGTTTTTGACGAGAAGGTAATTTTTCGACCTGTGAACTCTCACTATTTTTCTTCATTTACACAATAGCGCATTTATAATTAGAAACACTAAAATTTTAGTAGTTTTTTTAAGGTAGAAAGTTAGGTTTCAGTCACAATTTCTCACGAACACACTGTTAGATTAAACAATCTTTCTGACTCACACAACTTTACCTTAATATCTTGGTTAGTACAATAGCTAGTCGTGATTTTGAAGTAATTTCTACAGAATCAGCAAACTCCATTAGCATATTTGTTTGGAATTGGTAAATTTCCAAGGAATTGAAGAACTAACGCATAGTATAGCTTTATATAGGTATAGACAAAGTAGAGTTTTGGAAGGAGAGACAGTATGTGAAGACTATACACGACGTCCAACCAATTATTTGAATCAATGAATATCTCGAAGCCTATACATTAGTTATTTTAGAAACGTTGCAGAAGAAAAAATATTCTACTAAAGAAAAACAGTCAAGTACAAGTACAAAATGTCATCATTTTAGAACAGAGCGCTGTTACAGATAGACAAATATTAATAAATATGGTGAAAACAACCAATATTTTATATTTCCTGAGCCCTAATTATGAAACGCACCAAGGTAAAACTGTCCGCCTTACTCGTCGTGATGAATTAATCCGAAGTGAAAATTTTCTGCAAATCCCTAGTTTTCACCGAAGTTTATTTCCAAGCCAAATTTAATAGTTATATTCATCCAAATTTAAACAGGGACTTTCACAAAAGTCGCAAGACAGTTGCATTCATGCTAATCGCACTCGCAGGTGATGCACGTTGAAAATATTAGTGCAGTCACACTTCATGCACACTACCTGTTCGCTGTGCACTGAAGTAGCTGCTGCTGCTACCTGGTTTTGATGTTTACTTCTTCTACAGGCTGTTTTCTGATTATGGTTGTCCTGTATGCACATATCTGTCCTGAGAGCCGAAAAAGAAATTCCTGGTATCGGTAAACATATTTCTTATTCAAGAGTTTTAGACTAAATCATCAGATAATGAAAGGCTGCCCATAAGCGAGAAACAGGTTCCTCGATCTAAGCGCCCCCCTCAACCCAGCTCAGCTCGATCCCTGGACTTTACCCAACAAGTCGTCATTCGATGAGTTCCTATACGACGTGTGCAACTCGACAATTTTTCATCTTTTCACCTGTAGGCTCGAATACAGGAAGGCCGGCAAACTATGCGGTTGTTCGTGCTGCTGTCACCAAGCTACATCATCGTTGTCAAAGTAGCTAACAAAGTGACACCTAGCTGCAGCAGTGCAGAGCGTTAGTGGGTTTCAAGCACACACGGGGTCGCGCGTGACAACATCGCAGCATGAATAACCAGCATCATCCGCAACGCAGGATTATTAACGCCGCGCGCAACAAATCATCGAACGGTCACCGTTTTATTCTGGACTTGTTTCCTTGGACGCGGCCTATGCTAACGCTAACGATAGGTCGTAGGTATTGTACTTAACTATATGTATACAAATGGAGTATAACGCAAGGAGGACAAAAGCAAATAAGCATTATCGCTGATCACGTATGACGTATCACCACGGATGAACAATATTTGAGGGTCTGAAATTAAGTAAAACAAAAGTACCGATATTACCGCTGTAGAACCATGACCACCCGCACGCCGATCAAGTTCACAACGTGGTTTAGGCGATATTTTTTTGCTGCTTATTTGGCATAAAAACTGCTAGCAGTTACGGTTTCACGCTTCGTTCTTTTTTTATGCTCTTCTGTTTCTGATCTTCTGAACATTCGTTCCATCATCATCATCATCATCATCATCATCATCATCATCATCATCACAGTCATCACCGGCGTCATCAAGAGGAACGAAACATTGCGCTCCGTGTGCATAACGCTGATACGGATATCACAACGTGGCAGTCGCGAATATACAGCGCACGCACACACATTTTCTAGTCGACTTTTTTCTTTTATTAACCAATGAGTTATAATACTCGTTGATTGTGCCTCCGCGATCGTGCTCACGGCCAACAAATGGATGGATCCATGTGGTGAAGTGTCCCAGCGACACCGACGAAAAGATCCCCACTCGACGACGACGACGACGATCATCGAAGATCGATGCAAGATACCGACAGATAGTGGATAGACAGACATCTTAGACAAACTGACACAACGCACAGCTTCGCAGATTTTAGAACAAACGTGGGTATGTACAGTGATCCTAGCTCGCTCCGAGAGTCTCGCGCCCCCTACAGTGATATGTGTCATTTTTTTTGTTGGCGTTTTACAGCGAGCAACAGCAATGGCAGAAGCAGTGTTTCGGCGTAGGTACAAATGGCAAGGAAACGGTGGACATCAGACGGACACCACATAATATCATGAAGACAGGCCATAGTGTGTGTGTATACACAAAGAGCTACAGCAAATGATAGTTGAACAGCGGTGCGACAACTATTCATCGCGCACTTAGTGAGCTTCTTCGATTCTGCACGAAGATATATCAAATAATCGGAGACGATTAGTCGCTCGGTGTCACGCCGTGGTGCTGCTGTGAACGCCATTGCTGCTGCTGCTGCTGCTGCTACCACCACCGCCGCCGCCGCCGCCATCACGGTCGGTCGCCGCTGCCGGTCGGTTTCGGTCGTTTTTTGCGACGACATCGTTCAGTAGCAATAGTAGCAGCAGCAGTAGCAGCCACGCCATGAGCAGCAGCAGCAGCAGCAGCAGCAACAACAACAACAGCGACAGTGTCGTGACATAGAATAGAACTCAATAGTGCAGGTGTTGGTTCGATTCGAACGTCCGTGTTCGAGTGTCAACTGCGAGTGCTTTCTCTATGTATATTCGAACGGCTGCCGGAGAAGCCGTCAATAT